GAGAGGGAAGGGGGGGGGGAAGAGAGAAAGAGGGAGAGAGAGAGGGAGGGTGAGAGAGTGAGAGAGGAGGGACAAAGAGAGGGCGAGAGAGAAGGAAGGAGGGAGAGAGGGAGAGAAGGGGGGGGGAGAGGGAGAAAGAGTTAGAGCGAGAGTAGTGGAGAGAGCCTACGAGGCGAAAGATAATTCCCATTCTTCCCCGCCTTTTTCTTTTTTTTTTTTTTTTTGAACACGTATTTGATCTACATTTCCGTCCTTAAGCAGCTTTGATCGCTATTCCTCTTCCTTCAGAATCGAGATAGGATTGCGTCCTAGCTTGAGGGTTTCTGACAGGTTTCGTTCGCAGCTAGAGAAATGTCGTCCTCACGGTTCTCAGTAGGTCTTCTCGTTCATACGGAATCATACTCCTGTAAATCAATAGAGTCCCACTGCAGCCGTATACTCCGGGTATTTAGGTGACCAGATATTGCCATGTTGGAGGGAGGGGGATGTGCGAAACCTTAGGGAAGCGAGGAAGAGCAAAATTCGAGACAACATAACGCGAGACTCTCATTCATGGGAACACGGCTTCCTAAAACAATTGCGCAATCCTCAGAAGCGCCCCCCTCCCCCTCCTTTGGTGTACAAAGCTGTCCACGTGGATGTACGGTGAATGGAGACTGCCGTCATCCACGTGAGTCATAACGAACCTTTGCACAGGCCAAAGGCAAAAGAAGAGAGGCAAGAACCGCAAGCCCCAGCGAAACAGGGAAGACAAAACCTAGATGCACACATTACCTCTCTTCGGAACTGGCAAACAACAGGACAAGTCAAATCAACACACCTTGCTTACAAAGGCATTCATCTATTGGGGTGAGATTATAAGTACATAATACCTATATAAAGACTTAAATATTACGGTAACCGCTGCAATAACACATGCTGTATGTCTCATGGAATAACCTGAGGGCCAACTCGGCCGCCCTCAGGCCAGGCCGAAACAGGGGCAAAAGACCCCACACGAGGACTCAGGGTTTGGACCTGCGGCAGTTGACTTTGGTCAACTGTCGGGATCCCAACAGTCAAAGTCCAGAGGTACCTAGCCCAGGCCGTTGGTCAGGCACGCACACTTGTTTGTATGCAGGTACCCAGACAGCATCAGGTCCAAGGGAGAAGTCTGCAACTGCACAATCTGGGCCCTCAGCTGTGAGTCAATCTGGACGACTGTGGGAAAAGCACCCGAGGTTGGAAAGCCTCAACCAATGCTACTTAAGGCTGGCCTCGAATGAATCAAGCATTCAGTCTTGCGCTATAATGCTGCTTTGACTCTGGCTCGACTTTGACTAAACTCTGGCTTCATGCTGGCGCGACACTGGCTACACGCTGGCTGTGCACAGGCGTTGCGGACGACTGACGAGGTGGAGGCAGCATGCTGGCGCTTCTGCATTATTGCGCCAGCCTTGCTGAGGTGGCATGCTGATGTGGCGCTACCTCTGGTCTACATTGCATGCTGATGTGGTGCTACTTCTGGTCTGCATTGCATGCTGACGTGTCGCTACCTTTGGTCTACATTGCATGCTGATGTGGCGCTACACCTGGTCTACATTGCATGCTGATGTGGGGCTACTTCTGGTTTACATTCCATGCTGATGTGGTGCTACCTCTGGTTTACATTGCATGCTGATGTGGTGCTACCTCTGGTCTACATTGCATGCTGATGTGGCGCTACCTCTGGTCTACATTGCATGCTGATGTGGCCCTGCCTCTGGTTTATAGTGCATGCTGATGTGGCGTTGCCTATGGTCTTCATTGATGATATGGCATATGCCACCTATTGCGATTGCTGACGTGGCACTGTCCACGCTAACTACATGAGGTGACTGGTTGCGTGAAGGAGGAAGATCGGGATCTGTGGATGAAGGAGATCGGGTACTCACCTGAGATTGACGTCGACACTCGAATCTGTTATGTCGTCATGGTCTTCACGACTTCCGTGGCACTACTGTGTGTGATCAGGAATATACTTATTATCATTGTTGATGTGGAGAGGGAAGAAGCCCGGAGACGAAGAGGGATCTGAAGGGATTATGGTGTGATCTTTCATCTTCTCCTTTGTCTGTTCTCCACTCTCTTCTTGTGATGGTAACGAGTTACAGTTTGTGATATCACTTCACGATTGGGAGACTTTCATGCAGATAATGAGAGACTACTGAGGTTTGATGACTTCTGAGTATCCGCCAGACAGGGTTCATTACACCGCAAGAAATTTGTTACATAAGTATCCTCTCCTCCCTTTTTTTTTTTGTTTTTTTTTAGACGAGGGCCGGCTTGTGAAGTTATAAGAGACCAAAGTTGTGGTAGGCTTGAGGAGTTAAAGTGCAAGCGGAACAAATCTTTGAAAACTTCAGGGGACGAAATACTATTCCCAAACTTCCTTTTTTTTTTTTTTTTTTGACGCGGAGAAAGAAGAAGCCTCCAACCCTAATTCAGGGATACCACTCAAACTGATTAAACCCAAGGAGTGATGAGACATATCAAATTAATCTACAAATGAAATTAAGCATTTAGAATTCTCAGTTGATAGCGCAAGAGCCAGAAACAAGATCCTTAACAACAAGAACAAGAATGAAAACAGAACAATATTCATAACTTTTGAGTTTACTCCTTTCAAATTCCAGATTGCATTCTACAAAGTCCGTCGACAAAACAAAGTTTTGAGGGTTGAAACGATCCTTAATTGAGGCATAACAAACGGAGCTTCAGGGAATAGGATCGCATCTGACAACGAGCAAATGAACGACCACTAGTAGTTGTGATCCAACTTCCAAAGATGATAGAGCAGTTGTAAACCTTCCTCGCCCGGATCGCGAAACCCTAGAAACCGCAAAGAACGGCTTCCTGCTCCAAAAAGTATCATTTTCCCTTTGACAAATCTGATATCGATCAACCCTAATAATAAAGTAAGAATTCCAAAGGTGTCAGTAATTCTGTGAAAACAGCTTCCCCAACAACCAAGATTGACGTGCAGAGGTCATCTTTCTTTTTCGGAGTAATATTTAGCCGAATCACAAACGTAATATAAACCCCACCTTTCTTCTGCTTCGCTTATTAAGATAAGTGGTCAGAACCCGCTGCATATCATTCAGACGGTCAGAACTCGTAATCACGGACGAAATAGACTTACAACAATTTAGATAGCTCTCACGAGTCAAGTTTGCCCATGTCTATTCCCGAATCAGGAATAAACCTGCCTCTAGTCTAGATCTGAACCCGATTATCGATTACTTCTTTCGGGAGAACTCCGAATATCACGAAGGGTTAAAGCCGGAGCGGTTGTCCTAAAACTAAAGGCCAAATATGATCTTCAGCACGCCCTTGTCATCTTTGGATCCGCCTCTTGCTTCAAAATTGTCGTTTCCGCCATTGGAGAAGTCCATATCAGAGATCCGATCCTCCTCCGGATCATCCGATTTTGCATCCGTCTCACCTTTCCCACTCCCTCCCAGCGAAATGAACCACCTTCCACACCCTTCAACTTCAAAGTTAGGGGGCTTCCTTTCCTTTCTGGCTGCCATCCCCATCATCCACGCATTCAACCCCTTGCAGTACCAATTAATCAGGTCGACACTCCTTCCTCCCCTCAAGCGAAATGTCAAAATGACGAACTCCTTCAGAGCTTTCACGCTTGCCCCTCCTCTCCCGACCTCCCTCAATTGTCGAATTAAGTACTCGGTTTCTACAGACTCCTCCATGTTGAGTAGCATTCCCAGTGCCAGAAACCCACACTTTCTCTCCATCAAGTTCCTATTCCTAGCCTCCTTTGTGAGTCTTGGAACGAGTCGAGAATCCGAGGATATGCCCGAAGAGCCAATCATCCCTCCCTCGACGCCAAAACCCTTTATTGACAACCCAGACCGGTTGCTCTCCCGCCAGGAAGCAGAAGCTACGAGTACCCAAGTAGTTGACTGGGAACTCGTCCCTTCTTGTTTCTCTAACCCAACCCATTCCTTCCTTCCTTCTCCTAATGTCTGCGATGTCCCATCCGTCAAGGAGCCCAGCATCCTCTGGCTGAGACAATGACCCTTCTTCCCTATCCAGGACGAGAAAGGCATCTAGACGCTTACTGAAGGCTAGCGGTCTCTCCCTGTTACCTTCCTGAACATCTAGACCTCCTACAAGTGCTTCTAGCGTGGCGAGAGCTTCACTAACGAAGAGACCGAGCGGAGGAGGCGAAGCCAACGTCGACTTTCCCTCAAACTCCACAGTCCCCTGCCTCTCCTTCAAATAATCCCACATTTATATAGATGTATCTCAACTTACTAGATTAATGCGCTATCCTCGTCTGAAACCGGCTATGGAGTTGTACCTTGATAACTTTGAATCCTCCTGCCTATAGCAAAACCGGTTGCTCGGGTGGTTCCGCCAAACCCTAAGTCCCAGAAGTCCTGACTCAGCAAAGCGCTCCTTCCCAAGCCAAGATCGATTTCGGCCCAGAAGTCCTGACTCAACACAACGCACCTCCCAATCCAAGATCGATTCCGGTTACAGCATTCGCCTGATTGAGGCCGAGACTACCCGACTACCCCGAAGGTTCTTCAGACACAGCGCACGGGCACCCGCTACTCTGTTTTGCAGGTTCGAGTTCGTTCCCCTTCCCCTGCTCCTATCGGCCCAATGTTACTTTAGCCTTTCGTTGATTAAGCAGCCCTCTCGACTATGGTCAACCCGATGAGCTTCCACTAAGAATCACTATATCCTACAAATAGTTCGCTCGAAATGCCCTGACTCGTTGCCTGAGAAGCAGCATGGTTAGTACAACATCCAAGTTCGTATCCACAACTTTTCTTCCTTACCAGGTGAGTTACTTCGGTCTTCCGCACGTCCCGTCGGGTGAGCAAGTTTGAAGTAACTTACCTTTTTTTTTTTTTTTTGGGACAAAAGCTCCAATCTATTCGTGGGGAGCAACACGTGCTGAGAACCGGGCTCAGCGTCCCTTTGAAATACAACTGAGAATGCGCTATATGAAAATTGAAATACCAGGGCCATTACCCGACTTTGGCTAAGAAAAGTTGAGTTACTTATCAAGTAACTATGTCAGACTTCAGAAAAATTCAGACCCCTATCCCCACTCCGGCAAGTCTTACCGCAGCAGCGTCACCATCTCTGCTGTTGCTGTACTTTATTACCATCTTACCAGCTAGCCCCCGCACTAGTAGGACGCTTGATATCCAACCTTCTTCACCCACTCACCTAGGCAAAATTTCAAAAACGTTTCGTGACTACAACAAGAATTCAGAAAACAACTCAGAAAGACCCCCATCAAACCTCTTTACCTCACTCCGGCAAGAGTGACCGCAGCAGAGCCACCATCTCTGCTGCTGCTATGCCCTACTCCCATCCTACCAGCTAGCCCCCTCACTAGTAGGACGCGTGAAATCCACCCATATCCTTCTCCCGTACTGAAGAACACTTACAGTAATTCAGAGAGCATGAGAATAGGCCACAAAGGTGTTGCAAATGTTCCAAAACCGTCAAAATCCCTCACAAACCCTTCCAAAGTCCTCCAAAGCTGTCTTACTCACTGCCGAGCTCTTCCGGGCATCACACCCCCACTTCCTGCTTGGGTTACAGAGCAACGCAACTCACCCCAACTCCTGCCAGCGTCATCCTGTTAGCAACCCTTGGATGTCCCGTGGAATGGCCACCCCAAAGCATCCCCAGATCTCTCTTCTAGGCCTCACGCTCCTGCATTGCAGGTAACTTACCTTGAGAATCAGCCTTCGAAAATTCGAGAACTTACTCTCGCGCCAAGAATAGGAAAAAGATCTCTGCGAAAAACTAACTTCAGAAAGTGGTTTGCCTCAGGTTCTTGAATGTTATTGCCGAGCTGCAAGCCGGCGGAGGAGTTCAAGTACCACACGCACCGGTGTGACCTACCACTACTCTGCAAATAGCAAAGATGGGAAAACGACCATTTCGTCAAAATGAACAATTTTTTATTTTTTGAACGAAATTGAAACCGAGTTTTTTGGCCGAAAACTCGTCAAAATTTGTTGTTCCTGAGGATCCAGCGTTTTACAAACGCCGGACCCTTAGGAACAACAAATTTTGACGAGTTATGGGCCAAAAAACTCGGTTTCAATTTCGTTTAAAAAATAAAAAATGTCCATTTTGACGAAATGGCAGTTGGAACTCCTTTGATGTCTCAGCTAGAAATAGTAAATCTATTGAACCCGGCTGCGGCTCCTCATTTAGTTTTAACCTGCCGCCCCTTTGCAAGTCAGGTCCCAGTCGTCGTTGTTGTTGTTGTTGTTGTTGTTGTTGTTGTTGTTGTTTTTTTTTTTAATTTTATTTTTAAACACGGGCCAAGTGCCCAAGGCTGATATTATCAACAAGAAACTTGAGGCTGGGGTCCTCACAGTCTACCCGGAGTGACCGAACCGAACATGCTGAGAACCAGGCTCAGCGTCCCTCATATGATGATGATGATTAGTATGAAGACATATAGAAGACTGTGCTATATCGGCAATTCTGGCCTCCTTTTAAGATCACTAAAAACCTCCTGAAATCCACCGCAGTTTTCCGAACACTCGAGTATGTAAGGGGTTTCCAACAGATCATAACAATACACACTAAAACCGACTTATTCTCTGACAGACTCATCTAGGCCTCACGCCCCCTTTCTACTAGATTACAGAGCGACGCGACTCACTCCAGCTCCGGCCAGTGTCGTCCTATGTCAGCAACCCCCAACTGTCCTTTATGATGCCCCCGCATAGCATCCCCAGATCTCTCTACAAGGCCTCATGCCCTCACCTTTGGCAAGTTACAAGGCATCACCCCGACTTCGGCCAGCATCGTTCTGACGTTGAACAACTACGGATCCTGAATATAACAGTCTGATTCCAGTGTAGATTCGTACAAGCTGCCAACAAACCCTCAGAGTCCCGAGAGATTCTTCAAACTACCAGGAATAACAAGGGTACTTGTTTTGAGAACTCAGAAAAATCAAGAAGTATAGAAACACCCCCCTGTCCCCCTCATCCCCCTTCCCCACCACTGCCTCCGCCAAAAAGGACCGCCCCTAATCACGGGCACTCCTCATCGGCCCCAACTTGGGACAGACCCGTTTTCCCCCTACTCCCACAAAGGCATCCAGTTCCCACCCAAAGAATGCCTCTGCCAATCCCTTGCCCTTGTCTGCCCCCGCTGGGATATGATGCCGACCCATACATCTCCCCCAGCCCCAGAATAGAGCATCCCCCAAAATCTCCCCCATCTCCCTTCAGGGCAATCACCTCCTTCCTTGTGAAGCTCTTGCAGAGTAGAGCTCTCCCCCTTAGAACCAACCCACAATTTGTTTATGTTTAAGAGGAGTATCCGAATTCTGGACGTTTCTGTGGATTATCTCCCCCCCCTTTCCTCCATCTCCCCCTGTCCCTCCGCTGCCTCCACCAAAAAGGACGGCCCTGATCACAAGCTTCCCTTATCGGCCCCAACTTGGGACATACCTGCTTCCTCCCCCATCTTCCACAAAGGCATCCAGTCCCACCCAAAGTATGCCTCAGCCGACCCCTTACCCCAAACTGCCTCCGCTGGGATATGATCTCACCCCATACATCTCTCCCAGCCCCAGAATAGGGCATCCCCCAAAATCTGCCCCCACTCCCTCCAGGGCATTTCACCCCCCACCTTGTGAAGCCCCTGCAGAGTAGAGCTCTCCTCCTTACAACCCCAACCCCCCACCCGCTCAAAAATAATTCATTAGTGTGCCCGAAGGAGAATTAGAAATTAGTAGTAGAGAAAGGAAAAACACTTCCAATAAAAAATTCCAAAAATCGTGATGGAGAAAAGGTAGATGAGTTTTTTTTTTTGTTTGGATTTTGTTGATGACGGTGAACAGCACCCTGAAAATGATGATGATTAGGATGATGGTAACGACCAACTCACCTGCTGATGTGACAGGCAGCATCTAGTGATGTCAAACGGATGGTGATGATGGTAATGATGAGAATAAAGACAGAATGATGATGCTGATCATACTAAAGAGCAGCACCGACCCTATGATTACAAACTATTAATGATGATAGATACTGATGATGCTGATGCTGATGCTGACGATGCTGATGCACAGCGCCCTGTAATTTCAACAGGATGATGATGGTGGTGATGGCGAGCATCACTAATGATGATGATTTGATGATGACGATGATGACGATGATGATGGTGATGATGGCGAGCATCACTAATGATGATGATTTGATGATGATGATGATGATGATGATGATGATGATGATGACGCACAGCGCCCTGTGATGACAAAAAGGCGATGATGGTATTGACGACGAGCACCTTTGATGATAACCTGATGATGATCTGATCCTGGTGCCAAATGAATTTTCTACCAATAGGAATTGCTGAATTATGCCCTCTAATTGGCCCCAAATGGGCAAAAAAGTGCTGCAGGCCCCAAATTGGTTTTTGGCGTCATTCTTGCAGCCTGTAAAACACTTTCCCGCCATTTTTGCACAGAGGCGTTAAAAAGTACGACTCTATGCCTCCCGATTATATGACTTTTGGCGAGTGGGGCGTTGCTCTACAACCTCACCACCACTGTCTGACACGACTGCCATTTTGTTGAGCTGTTAGACTGCTGTTTAGGTCATTGCGCTCAGCATGGCCAACGTTTTTGTTGTTGTGGTGACTCCCTGCCGGGACCCACCAGATACGGTGAGTCTGCGCCTGCCTGCCGGGACCTATGGCTGGCAGATAATTTGAGTATGCGGCTCTCTGCCTACTGCCCCAACAGATTCAGGGGGCACGGTCAACGTTTTTGGAGTTGCGGTTCCTCCTTGTCGGGACCCACCAGACAAGGTGAGTCTGCGTCTGTCTGCGTACTGTCCCACCAGATCTAAGTGGCACGACCTTTTGGTGAGAGTGTGAGTTGGGTGAGGTGGTGGAGGGATGATTGAGCACTCGCCACGGCAAATTTTGATTGGTCCGCTGGTGGAGCCAGGCCCTAAATCTCTCCCACACCCATGTCCTTCTCATAGAGAGCAGATGCGCTCTCCTGTCAAAATCATACACTGTGTCGCAAATGCGCTGGACGCGATTTCCAGCACGTGCAGCTTCCCACCAATATATTGGAGCCATTTAAAGGAGGGCCAGCTCAGTTGG